GTTTAGTTGCTTGTATGGTGTCAAATTTGTTGAAGACTGCAGTTTCATTTACCTTCTAACAGCCATGAGATTAAGAGTATGATCGGAGAGTTTTTGTGTTCTTCTGCAACGGCTCTTGCAGAACTTATGTACATTTTCAAAGAGTTTGTCATTCATATTGCCCACTGCATAGCAATCTTCTAGGCACTTAAAACGGTTTTGTAACTCGAGCTGAAATGTTTCAGGACTTTGGATTAGAGCATCCCTCGTGCGACGAAGCGTTGATTTCATTAGACTAGACCTCTTCAACTTAACGTTTAGGTTCAGTGTGCCTCCAACCATTCAGTGATTGCTCTCAGTTTTCATCGTTGCGATCACTGGACATCACTGAACATTTGCCTTCTAGTCTAGTTTTTAGTCGAACTATCCAGGCTCGACCAGGTCCACATTCTGAGTCCGCTTCTGCAAGAAAAATTCATCACAAAGAGTCCCTCTTTCTCCATGAAATCAGCCAGCCGTTGGCCCCTTGGGTTCCGTTGCCCTATCCCAAATTCTCCTACTTCAGCCCAAAGTTCCATCTTGTGCCTAGCTTTGGGTTGAAGTCTCTCATTAACACCGTATAAATGGGTTTTAGAGGAATGCCTAGCTCTAGAAATATCCTCATACATTTCATCCACCTCCGCATTGAGATGTGCCGATGTTGGTGCGTAAACCTGTATGACCTTCAGCGAATGCCGTTTAGAGATTCTAAGCATTAGGTACGCAACCCTGGTCGACACACTCCCAATCTTTACAACGCTGTAAACGAGTGACTTGTGGACGATAAATCCAACACCTCCTTGGCGCAGATGGTCGCCCTCCCCGTGATAGAAAAAATTGTCCTTCCCCTCTCTTCGGACCTCGAATAATCCTATAATATTCCAGCGCAATTTGTCTATTTCTTTTTACAGCTAGGAGACTATTTTAAATTAAAATATTATTTGAATTAACTATACAGTTTCTTGTAAAAAAAATATTATTATTATATCCTAAACGGCCTCCGCGATTACATTAGATTTGATAGACCACAAATCACGTGAAAGAAAATCGATTTCTGGCAAGGATGATACGTTAGACTATTGAAATTTGAAAAAAAAAACGGTTATTACAACATACAAGAGTGCTGGGTGCTACCACCTGCTTGGGATCTTGATATTAATAAAATTAAAACTAACCCCAAGCATACCACTTCTTCAAACCACAGTAAATTCATTCTGCGTAGATCGGACCATAAGTAATAATTAAAAAACTGAAGGTACTACGAAGTAACACTGACATTGCCACGTCAATCACTACAGCCCTCCGTGACCATGAGTGCACGAAACGCCGGGAATGAAAATTAAGTAAGTAGACGTGAAAAAATCTGTGAAAGTAGTTTTATTTAATAACTATTGTATTCAATATATATTTTATGTTATGAAACTAGATACTTATAAGGAATAGTTATGAAGTGATTTTTAACTTTGGCCCTGGCACTTTGGCCTTGGCCCTGGCACCACCCAACAACTACCGGCATAGGTGTGACATGGACATTAAACATGATCTTTGTTTAGTCCATTTTCATCTTAAGAATTTCCGTTGGGAGACACTATTGAGATCATTGAGCATAGTGTTTAAGTCGTACAACGATTCTGACAGCGACTCTGCCTGACTGTATCGTCAGCGTATAAAAGGTAACTTTTTAATAAACTTTTTAAATAATTAATCCATTTATCGAACCATTACGACCAATAAAAGTCCACTGCTAAACAAAGGCCTCCCCCATAGATTGCCTAATAAAGGGGATTTTGCCATAGTTGCACACTTGGCAGGCTAGACAAATGTATTTTTTTATTATTTTGATTTGTTATTAGAAAGATGCTGATGAACATCACCCATTTTCAGTTTCGCTCTGTAGTCTCCTACGACACCCACGGGACGGTTATGGTAGTCATATTCTTACACCGCCACTACGAGATATTAATATAAAAAAAAAATTCCCACTAGGATTACATAATCGATATATACACAATATATAAATCATAGTTCCGTAGTAGTCAATGCTTTAGTTGATTCGCTATTGATTTAGTTAAACATTTTTATGAACTAATTATTTATCAAATTAGTTATAATAATTCCGGAAGAATGTAGTGGTCACAGTACAAATCCACGAACGCAAAGACTTTAACGTGCTTGAAATAAAGTTCATTTTTCCTTATATTTATTGAATGACAGAATTAGTAATAATACAAATAAAACCGCACTCTTAAAAGTCTTATTGCCTTAAATTACGGTCTATTTCAGTTTGTTTTGACTTTACAGATTTAGTGTGACTGTAATGGATAAAAAATTACCTATTTTAAAAATGATAGGAATCGATTCAGTAAAGGATTCTGAACAAACTACTTTCTCAAAGTGCGTTAATTATGTCACGTGTTGTATATATATATAAAGAATATCCGCTAGTGAACCCTGGGACATGCAGCAGCATTTCCACGATTTTTTACAACAGCGTTTGACAACCTACTTGCCAAGTGTAGTAAACATAATAAATAACCAAGACAAGCTAAGGGAGAGGCCTATCCTCAGCAAAGTACATTTAATAGGCTGTAGTGGATGGATTATACCTACATATTAGTCGTAGTGATGGAATAGAATGGAATAAAATAGATAATTTTGTTACGTGTAATATTAATAAAAAATATTTAATAAAGGCATATTCCCAAAGTTCATTTCATTATCGCTGTAATAGTTTTCCTTCGGCAATATAATTTAAAAAGTTATCTTAGGGAAAGATATTCTAATTTATTTTTACAGTCCAATTCATTATTGTAATATTATATTCACAGGAATAGAAGAAAATCCCTACGAACAATTTTTTTTATTTTGTACTATCAACTTGTCCTGGTTTTGCCTGGACGCAATCAAATACCCCAAGATTTTCTGGTCAAATGTATCGCGGATCACTCATGGCATTGCTCTCTATCTATTTATGTTTCATCATTTCATCTATTCAGGTTCAGCCATTTTTAATCAGCAGTTTACGACTACCAGACTAACGATACAGTCAAAGTACAGTAAAGTATAAGTAACACGCCCGAGTAAAGTACACAATATCTCGTCTCGTTATTGAGGGGCATTGGAATGGAAAGAGACCGCCGCACCACCCTAACGCCTGTTGTTGGACTTCACACGTCCTCGAAATAATAGTTTATTTTTTCGATAGAGAAGCTCCTTTAAGATATTTTTCTGTATTACACTTAAAAATTGCCTCGCCCTAAAGACTTTTTGGGAATAGAAATGATATGATATTGCTTTTAAGCTTCCAAAGCCATTTAACTTACGAATTTGTCCTATGTCGATTTGGAACTGTCCTTTTTAATGTGGGATTTATAACAAAAAGAGTGTGCCGATTGTGTTTCTTAACTACATGACGTGAAAAACGACTAATAGGATATTGGTTTTGTGATTATACATATGACGGTCTAGCCACCGATTACTTTCTATACAGGGGGGGGGCTATGTTCAGGAAAAGACTATTATAACCTTTGATGCGTGGATACAAGATGTATCGTATCTTTGATGATGCTGCCTGTCGCAGGTCTGGGTATATTACATACAGAGACCATAAAATTTTTTCTAGCATTTTATTAAAGTCAAGCACATCCATGAGGAACGGCTAAGTAAATTTAAGTAATATCAAATGTCCTCTAGGCCAAATTTCGGTCACGACAGCCTGTCTCAGCGGAGACTAGCAGTTTACGCAGGACAGAATTATAGTGCCCAAGTGTATGCGCAAGCACAAGTGTACTCTCTTTTCCCTGACTCTCATAGCCCGAATGAGCGGATATCCGACACGACCGGAGAGACCATAATATGCAGGACTAATGACTATACTTCCTAGTCGACCCGGGGGTAAATAACTGCCACCTTTTTGACTCCGGGCTGCTACTTAAAAATTTCTTGACAGAAAAACCCAATAATTGGTTGTGGCACGACCCAGTATTCGAATTGAATATTTGTAATTGATGATCAGTAACCACGTTTAGGAACACAATACCAATTAGACAGTTGTAGTCATATAAAATGTTAACACAAACTAAAAATAATAGTAGTACTAGTAATAAGTCCGAAGTATGTTAAATGGCGTGTATATGTTCCTAGTTTGATATTGACTTTAAATATGTTTAATTATTTTTAATTTCGTTTTGCAATTGTCTCGTAATTGTCACGTAGATTTTGTAATTGACTCTCTTGACTTTGGTATCATTCGTATTTTTATGTAAAAAGTATTTATTATATCTAGATTTGACATTAATTTTATTGATATTTATTAGATATCTTCTTATTGTTTCAATCTGTTGACATTAATAATGTAGTATATAAATTTAACTTGGTAATTATAGTTATAAATAATTGTTGTGAAATTAATAATTTTAATGAGAAATTGTTACGAATGTAATTAATTGAATATTATAAGCGTTTTTGATGGATACTTCTGTAAGATTTAAGATGTTTGTGTATAAATAAATTAATTAATTAAAAAATATTTGTGAAGTTCATACTCGGTACAAGTGAAACATTCAAACGAAATGAAATATTATTAAATAAAAATATATTAATGCTACTGATTTATTTAATATGATAACTTTCAACCACGAGTGTGGCATAAAATATGACTTATTTAATTACAAATAAATGTGACAATTCTTATGTATAGACATTTAGAACCTAAAATGTAGTGTAATAAATCAAGATAATATTTATTTTGAGCAATATTGCTTTATAAAAGTGTCATCTACTTGATTGGCTACCAAGGTGGTACATAAAATAGACGCTAAATGTTCTAAACACGACTAATGTAATGTAATATTTGATCTCATTCTCTCGCAGACTAAATCCTATAGACATATATGTTTATCTCTTTTTGTTGTGGCTTTTTCGTTTTAATTAAATTTCAAATAATAACGATTCAAAAAAGTTCTCACTACAATAAAATAAAAATGTTCCAACAGATAGTAGAAATAATTTCCTGGCAGTCATCGGAACAGGATTTCAAAGAACGCAGTGTGTTCAGTCAACTGGAAATAACGATCCTCGAGACTGACCATTACAAGCTCGAGCACACTTACACTCAAAACAGTCCTAGCTCTTACCAGAACTACTTCAGCCGCAGTGTAGAACGTGATTCAACGAAGCATGAAGTTCTGAGGTAAGGACAAACGAAACGGAATTATTTTATAAGTAATAGGATTTCAAAATAACCTACAAATTGCATAGACGTGAGAGCAAAGGGGATTAAACGCTCGTAAATTTCACAATACGCGAGCAACCGAGGTTCAATCCTCGATTATTTTAAATTTTGAGTGCTGGCTTACCGCGCCCTCGGCGATGATGAGAATCATCGAAAAAATAAAACATCACGGGACCTTGAGTATTAAGGAGAGACATGTTTAAAATACATAATATAATGACGATTTCTTATATTTACCACTAAGGAACAAAACCGTTTAATAAAACGCGATAAAATCTGTAAAATTAGTTTAATTTTACATACTATTAAGGTTGAACTAAGGAACTAAGGAAATTTTTATGCACAAACGTGAGGTAGTCGTAAGTGATTACGTTTTTTATAATTTAGTAATAGTGACGATCAATAGTATCAGCTAGTGTGTAAAATTTAAAAATATACATAAAGGGGTGATTAGGCTTGTGGCGGTGGAAGGAAAAGGGGAGATCTCCCGCCGGGTAAGGTGTTCTGCCCGAAGAGCGGCCAACGCTCCGTGTGGTAGTTCGGAGTTATTCTATATGTACTGTTTTTACTTCGGAACTTTGATAGCGTGATTTAAGCTTCGATGTGTTTCGCTTTTGGCGCGAAAACAACGCCACCACAGGCTTTTGATTTTCAATCACAAAAAGAAGATAAATAAACAATTACTATTGCTTATCACCAAGTGGGTCCTTCGGAAATGAAAGAAAATCTTGGAAAAACCCGGTAGAATTTATGATTTTAGTTAAGAAATTAAACTTTAATGGTTATTTACAACTTTTTTTGAGCTGGTATTATAGATTAGACAAAAGAATAAAAGTAATTTTACAAACTTGTTGCCTGGGAGTCCGATCAGGATAGGTTTCACCTATCACTTATTTCTGATGCCATATTAGTAGTCCTGTTCTGGTCTGAAGGCTATAGAGAGCTAGTATAACTACAGATTGTGAGGCATTCGATTTTAGTCCTCAGAGGTGACGACGCATCTCGAGCGTCTAACTTAGACGTTCTAACTTAGACTTTAACTTCGTTTGTCACTTCAGTTCTATTAATAAAAAGAACCAAAAACTGATATAGAATTGTAAATAAATACGAAATACCAGTAATTGCACTCAAACAAATGTTTAATCTTTACGTCGTTTACAGAGTTTTGGTTTGAAATTGAATTGTATTGTAGAGTTTATCGGCTAGTTTACGCAAAATATTGGAAAAACCATTTTCTAACTTATGTTACTGTTCAATTTTTAGAAGTTTAAAGTCAGCGAAAAAGGAATGGAATTCTCAAAGGGCATTAGAGTTAGTTTCTTTGGCAATGTAAATTCAGTTTGGAAAGAGAATAAACTCCGGTTGAAAGATTATGGAACACGTCAAACTTTCAGATTTGCATAAAAGATTATTATATTAATCACATAAAACAATAGTACCCGAAAAACTGTGAAAATAACAAGTCCCTGTACGGGCTCTACCCAGACGTCTAAGCAGTAAAGGAGTCCTACTACCATTACGTAGTAGGACTCATTAGATTAACATAACATGCACTTTTTTTTCAACATCTTTAAGTTACTTGTAAATAAAATAACAAAGTTTCCTTTATAATACCATTTATTTTATTTTATGGAATATGGGTGACAGGCGAGCACACAGTCAGCCTAACGGCTTACAGTTGAGCTTGCTATGGCCACGAAATCTAATTATGAATACTGTGACCCATAGACATCTACATCCATCCACGATTAAGATTCAAAATGCGGATGTGTTGCTACCTCTGAAGACTAAGATATACTACGTAACAAAAATAATTTAGGCGCATGATAGGTACGACGTGTTTAGAAATAGGGAGGGAATACCGGAACGGTAGGCGCAGAAACCCCATTCCTGCCATGCACCTAATTGTTTTGGCCAATTAGTAATGCCTCGTTAACAGTAAAAAGAATCTTTGGTTCTCTACACTCACCATGGTAAACAAATCATTTTTAAGCTGCTATTTTACGATGATATTTCTGGCTGATATTCTGTGAGAGCGTGGTCATGTCGTGGCACTGCCACGCTGCAGCTATATAATAGTTGTAACACCACTGGGTCGGCCTGACCATGACATGACCACGCTCTCACAGAAATAAATATTATAGGTTTACTATAATTCCGCCACCCAGTGGTCAATTTGCAATAAGTTGCGTCTCAACAATTTACGATATTTACGCGAGGTCGAGCGATCTGGTTCATGTCAAGTAGGACAGCCCTCGCCCCGCCTCTGTGATTGGAGAGGACTCTTCCGGTAATGATATTGAAATAATATGTTACTTTTATTTATTGTGGCTGCAACTTAACCATAGTAATAGGTTCAGACATATTAATCACGAGATATTTATAGGTGTGAGAGAGATTATTTCTTATGACTTAGTGGCGGTGTAAGTATGTTTAAACCAAATGGGTCTCAAAAACACGCAATTGCTCAAGAGAAAGTGTAAAAAAAAAAAACATTACGATAAAAATTCATGATTGGTAAGTTTTAATATGTACTTTACAAACATATATTAAATTGGTTCCCCCAAAACTCATCCCTCTCTCAAACCCCGGGTAGTGTATACTACCCCATATTGTCCCGTGGGTGTCGTAAGAGGTGACGGAGGAACTTGAAACAAGTGGTGGACAGCAGCAAGTTACTGATCACAACTCAAATTGACAGAAAACTGCGGTTGCAAACCCGCTTGCCAACCGTGAAACTGTGGCTAAATTTCCTATATGACACAATATTTGGGAGAGGCCTGCAGTCATAGACTTATTATACTACTGCGTATGGACCGGGTCATTGAACAAACAAAATGGCACCGACTCTTTGGTGCTAAAATTTTTTTGGACCAACGCGACCTCAGTGTTGTCAAACGCGAGCTGACATCTCGTTAAATTGTCAAAATGCTGACTTGTGTAGTAAAAATGTGTACTTATTCCGATAAAAAGGTGACTAAAAAAGGAGGGAATATGTTTTTTGGCAAGTATTACAAAAATTATGAATAACGTATATTTTTATTTTTTTTTATAAATATTTTAAGAACCGCTTACAATTAATTAACCGGCAATGTTCAATTAGTAGTTTTGATAAGTCACGTTGTTTTAATTTGGCCGCATTATATGCGAGCTCAGGAGGTAACGTTGTGTTGTCGGCATATAGGGATTTTGATTTGGTTTTATGGGAATAAATTTTATGGGCATTGGTTATCGATAACTAATAAATACAATTCGAATTGTATTTATTAATATGGCAACAGAAAACATAAATAAACATATCTGATAAATAAATAAAGGCAATTTGAACTTAGGCATTCGGTTTAAAAATAATTCAATTCAGGAGTTTTGAAAATTGCAGGGTTTAATTCGGTATAGAAGAAGTCATGGGAAAAAATAACGTAATAGCAAGCAAACAAGTTCAAAGGAATCGTCTAACTAATAAAATGCATATTATACAACTTAATAAGAATATAATATTTAATTTTCGGATTGCCCGCAGGGTCAAAGAGAAGAGAAATATGGTGCTGTTTGCTAAGAAAACAACAGGATGATTCATATTTTAAAGTAAACAACTCACATAGAGTTCAGAACACTTCTATGATAATGATTTTACTCTAACTAAATCAGGGTTCCGAAAACTGAATATAACTGCGACCCCTTATCTAACGGTGGGTTTTATTAAAAAAACGTCTGTCTATAATGACTTTAAAAAGTTTCATAGCCAGGAATACATTTTCAGTATTAGAAATACACTCCTTTGATCAGCCCGCAACGTTTAACAATAAACTGCATTTGATTAGAGCCATAATTGAAAAATATATTGACTTGAGAATGCACCACGAATCAAACGTGGGAAATACAGGAAAAATTACCAAACGAAAGAAGTTTAATAAGCTTGTGTTGTTTGATGGTCAATAAACTTCTGCTACCTACTTACTCCATAGAAAAATGTCAGTCATCATCATTACAGCCCTTCACAAGTCCACTGAGCTGTTTATAGGCCTCCCCAAAGGAATGCCATAAAGCACGGTCCTGAGCTACCTGCATCTATCAACTTTCTTCATGTCCTACCAGGTCATCACTCAATCTAGTGGGGGGACGCCCTATAATTCACCTGCCAGTACGAGGCTGCCACTCAAGAACCTTTTTGTCGATCGGTTCTATCGGTTCTCTCCACCCACATAAAATAGCACCATTAAAGTTAAACAATTAAACCCAAAATTAGAATAGTACCATTTTGGATGTACACAAATCTCTAAACTAAAATAATTTGTCAAAGTAGTAAAGTCCAAACAAAATTGAGTACCTCCAATAATAACAGTTCTTAGAAAGTTACCTCAATCGTCGTGTAGCTTATTATCGTAGTTACTCTGTGTGTGTAACTACGATAATAAGTGTGTGTTCTCTGCGTGCAGTGGTTCACTTTTAGATATTTTACATTATTTTAGAGTACGTTTACTATACTTTTATATTTTACGGTAATCTGTTTAGGGTAATAGGTAGGGCTTTAGGCGTTTAATCAAGTTAACAGGGTTTTGAAAAATTTGAGGTAAAATCAAACTTCAGGTAACCCTGTATTTATACCCATCCAATGTGATTTTTTTGAATTAATCGAAGGGGATAGGGTCAAAAGAGCTAGACAAATGTATTTCGGATTAATGGTTCTGTATATCGGAATAAAGGTATAATATTTTACTTAGTTACATATTCATTATTCGTATGAGACTGTGTTATTATATTTTAAAAATGAGAACGACTTTTTCATCACAAACTCAAGATTTGGATTCGTGAATTGATTGATATTCAATACTTGCTACGATATTTTTTTTCTAAAATATTGACAATTAGGTGCAATATATAAGGCTTTTATGATTTTATACGATAATTTAGGGAGTATTGTTACTGGTTCTAGGATAAAAACAAACGTCGAGTACCGGGACAAACTTGGGTCTGAAGGCCAGCTTTTGCTTAACAAAGTCTCGAATTAGGGGCGACTAAATCTAGTCCAATTCAAAAACCAAAAGACACAAGTTTGCGCGTTAACCGTTAAAAAGAAACCCTTTGTTCTATCTCCTCAGTTTGAAGGCACTCCCTTTGCTGTCTCAGCTAGCATCAGAATCCTCAGCGTCAACATGTCGAATAGTGTGCAGTCAGCTTGTAGGGGAAGGCCAAGTTGGCCTCTAAAAAGCTTGGCGTGCTCAGCAGAGCGAGACAGTATTTCATGCCGGCACATCGCTTACAACTTTACAAAGCGCAAATTCGGTCTCACATGGAATACTGTTCTCATCTCTGGGCATGGGCACCCCAGTGCCAGCTCCTTCAACTTGATCGCATCCAGCGCGAAGCGATTCGAATCTTCGACGACCTAGTGCTTTCCAATCGACTCAATTCACTGGCGCTGCGAAGGGATGTTGCCTCCCTTTTGCATGTTCTTTCACATCTACCACGGGGAGTGCTCTGAGAAATTGTTCGGAATAATCTCAGCCGCCAAATTTCATGAACGCACATCTCGGCAAAACTCTCGATACTATCCAAACTAGAGTCTACCACTCTGTGGAAAAGTTTACCACCGGTGATTTTTCCGGATCGATACGACTTAGTGACCTTCAAGAAAAGAGCTTACTCCTTTCTAAAACGCTGGCAACGCGGCGGCGGTAATCTCTTACCATCAGGTCAGCCGCATGCTCGTTTGCCCCCTCTTCTGTACCATAAAGACTTCTGACTCAGGAGTATGTTGAACCAATAATAAGTTCCGTCTTTCATTTTGCGTAGTACATTTTCCAAATGATAGAGTTTTAGTTTTAGAATTTTAAGTATTTAAAGGTGAAGTAGGGTTGTAATTTCTTTGTCTTTAATACATTTTTTAAATTATCACTAGCATTATATAAAATTATACATTTCCTTTATTATGTGAGGTGATTTTTTCTGCGTAGGTGTAATTATTTTATGTTAAAAATGGACATTGAAATGTACTCTGGCTGCAATGATGGTGCTGATGATGATGAATAGTCGTTGTACCTCAGGAGTCAAGCGCTCACGATAAATATCATATCTGTCATAAGCGAAGGCTATGCGAAATGCTAGAAAGACCTCATGGCTTCCGATGGATGACTGTTTGAATATGCTGATTACGCCATGCGTAAAATATGCAGATCGGTAATGACGACGGCGGTTTCAAAGGTGCGTAATATCTTATAATTTTTTTACATGGGGCAATGCCCATGCATAACCCCCTCGACAGGATAAGGAAAGAAAGAATAAAAGATGGAAAGAAAAAAATTTTTTTTATAGGATTGGATAAGAAACGAGCACACAGTCCACCTGATGGTAAGTGGTTGCTGTGGCCCATAGACATCTACATCTATCCTCGTTTGCGAATCGAAATGATAATATGTTGTCAGCCTTGAGGACTAAGATGGAATGCCTCGTTTCCATTAAAAAGGGTCTCCAGTTCTCTACACTCACCATACGAAACACAACAGCATTAAGCTACTATTTGATGCTGGTATTCTGTGAGAGCGTGGTCCTTTCCCGGTCGAGCCGACCCATTCGTGCTACAACTATTTTACTAATATAACTGCAGCATGGCTCTAACACGTAAAAAATTAATACATGTAAAAAATATTCAAATTCACCTCATAAGTATAACGCTATATAGTACATAACAGTTTCTCAATTTGAACGTTATTAATAAAAAATATTAGATATTCCCGGATGTGACGAAAAGCGGTCGCACTCAGTATTTGGCGTGGCAAATCCACAGTCACCGCTCAGTTTCACTCGTTTCGTCTTTTTCAAGTAGTTCAAACAGTGGTCCATTTTAATACATTTTAAATATAACCTAATAGTGAACACAAAATAAACAAACAATTAACACGAGACTAGCCTAGACCTAACATAACTGAGCCTTACTTGTGTCCTAATTGTTAAGTTTAAAATGTAAAAACAAATATAAAGACAGCGATGGATTCAAAATACAATTCAATGAACTTAAAAGAGATAAGGATAGCGTCGACGCCTGATAGTCGACAATCGACCCTATTAAATTACTTATAAAACGATTAATATTATGTTATTGTATAGAGTCATACACCAACCGCACATTCAACCAATCACACTACACAAATACCCGCCACATCGTTCTCACATTCCCATTTTAACTTTCGACCAAACAAGACACAAGCACAACACGAAGAATAATATAATTATAAAACTGTAAATTCAGACCAATAAATCTTTGAGAAGATCTACGATTTCTTTCTTTTGTTCATCGCGTACAAAATTGGTGCCCGTAACAGAACAGTACCCTGCTACTAAAACGGCTTTTTGCAAGCACGTGGGTCAACGGACGAAGGACACTAGAATGTCAACTCCACGTCGTGCATGGCAGTACCTAGATTACCTGGGCTACTACTAGCAGCAAGTTAGGACTACACTGCTCACCTTGCAGCTAGATCGTCTTTCGCCGAGCCACGCCGATGCTAATTCAACCACGCGAAGTCTACAAGCAGACAGCACCCTACTGCTACTTCTTCGGCTCAGCAACGCCTGCCTTCCTATCTAACTTTGAGCCCGTTTCTATTATATCCTATTTATTCCACTCAATTTATGCAAATAGTGTCGCTAGTTTCTTTCTGAAGTTGTGCAAGCTGTCACCTAAATTCATTTCTAAAGAGCTTATTTCTGCTTACTTTTTTGTAAATTATTCCCTAAAGCCTTTTTAAGCGCTAAAATTAAGTGTACTTACAGCTTGAGTATATAAAGGTTGCATCCAATTTTATAAGTCATGCTTTATACTACGTAACTTTCATTACGCTAAAGTTAACTAAATAGCTACTGTGCGTCCTTATGTAATTAAAATTACTACACATAATTAAAGAGTAAATTAATTAGTTTTAAACATTAAATTTGCATTTTACGCATTCATGCCTATTTCTATTCCTTAACTACAAATTGTTCTCAACTTTTCTGTACGCTAATCGCCTCTAGCTGTTAATTAATAACTGTTGTGTATTAGATATTTAGCATTATTACAACTCAATTCCAGTGTAGCGGCGCGTGCCCGAGGCGACCCTTTTTGACGTCACGCTTTGTCTCCGCGGCTACCTGAGCTCCACGGGCGCGGCGGCCGTTGCTCGTGCTCCGATTCAGCTGGCCAAGAACCGTTTCATCGACCGCGCCAGTTAAATAGCAAGATAAGCGAGGAGCGTACCGTATTCATTTATTTAACTATTTTAAATCTATTAGAATAGATACTTTCATACAATGAAGTCTAAAAAGATAGTTTATCTGACTTGAAAAATTAAGATGAGATTATCTAGATCTGAGGATTTATTCAAAGAGTTCGACGAGTTGCAGGCACAAATCGAGTCGTAACAGGTCCCCTCCATAATGATTTCTTAAATTTACGCGAATACTACACATTGAATAAATTTAAATTTACGGATTCTATCGCGTTTATTTAACTAATTTTACTTATTTTTAATTTCCTACGTTTCGGGTGCTTTACAGCACCCATGGTCACGGGGGGGGGGACTGAGAAGTTTAACGT